TACTACTGATTTACTGGTAGTCACGAAAATAATACTTAATTCGAAAAATAAAGTATAGTAGTCGATTGTTATAGCAAAACATACGTTTGCTTTATCGACAATTCCACCAAAAGAAGATGATATGGCAAAAAGGCCTGGCCTTCCTTGAAAATTCCCAAAAGACGCTCGGGGTAGTGTAGCCGAGTGGTTGGGGTGTTAAGCTTCCATCCTGCACTGTCGCGGTTCGACTCCCGTTGAGGGTGTTGACAATACCAATGCGAGGTCGAAACTGCTGTCCACTTCTGTCTGGATGAGAACAACTTGTTGGAAAGCAAGGCTACGTGAAATTGTATGGAAACGTCAGCTCAACTCATATGATTGTGGGAAAATTTTTCCTCTATTAGTCCTTCATCAACTTAAACGAAATTGGGTGAATACATCTCATACTACTGATTTACTAGTAGTCAGGAAAACAATACTTAATTCCAAAAATATGTGAAATTGAATGGAAACGTCAGTTCAACTCATATGATTGTGGGAAAATTCTTCTTTTACCAGTCTTTCATCACCTTAAACGAAATTGGGTGAATAAATCTCATACTACTGATATACTGGTAGTCACGAAAACAATACTTAATTCGAAAAATATATTGTTTATTGTAGCTAAATGAGCTGTTTTTGTCTGCCTGTCTAGCGGACTGGAGCACGCCAACTGGCCACTCACGATCGGCCAACTCGCCAATTCCCGACAGAAACCGGCAGGTCTGACTCGACGCTCGAGCGCCGACAAACTGGCGGTCGAGTCCGGCGAACTCACCTTCGCGCCGAGCGAGCCGGCGTCACGAGCCGGCACGGCCAGTGCAGGCGTCGGTGTCGGCGTCGGCGTCGGTTTACGGTTCCCGGGACCCCTGGGGCCCGAGGATCCGCGGCCCTGTCTGACGGGAATGGCGCGCCGAGGTAGCAAGCGCAAAGCCGGCGTCGGCGGCGAGGCGGCGGTCTCGAGCAAGCGGCGGCTCGCCGTGCCGCCCGAGGCCTGCCGAACGGACTCGGAGTCGGAGCGGTCGGCGCGGCCGACGCGACTCGACGCCTACGCGTCGGCCGGT